CATGGCCACTGCCACCACCAGCACCGGTGGCAGCAATTGATCCTCATGGTGGTACACCAGGGTACCAAATAATACAAAATGGCCGAGGCAATTAAATATTTTATTTCTGGGACACTTTTTTCCCAGGGGTGTACTTAACTCCGCGACTGGGGTACCAATCAATGCGAAATCAGTGCTACTCCGCGATGTCGAAACACCAAATATTAGCATAAAAAATCCGTTTTCGAAAAATTAAACTTTTAAGAGTGCATTGTGTACAGCTCGTTGAGATGAATCGATTACCGCATCGCCGACCATCACCAGACTAAAAATGATTGCATCACGGACATTATGCGAGAGCCGGGGAACTATGGTACCCTGGGGTACCGCCCTGAGGTTCAATTATCAGAACTGGTCCCGAGGCCTCTCCTAGATCAACTCCGCTTCAAATAAGTACCTAGTTTGGTGTGTGACGTACCTGGGGCGTTGTGATCAACCATGCCCTCGTGTGCCACAGTTCCAGCCTCAATACATGCTGCTACTTGCTTACAGCACTTGCCCCAACAGTCTACTGAGGCTTTATGATTGACCTCTGTCTTTGTCTGAACCGTGTGCAGAGGCTGGGTGTGCCCCCAAGAAACTTCATACATGCCGCTCCTTACGGATTGATATACTTTGGTAAGTTAAAAGGGGTGGCTTGGGGCTGTTATTGCATAATTCCAACGGAGTGATGTTTTTTTCTGAGTAGAAGGGTTGGTAGGTGGATGGGTAGGTGGATGGGTAGGCGTGTGCGTGGGTGGGGGGGGTGAGGGGGTGGCGGGGTTAATTTGCAAAACAACACCCTACCTCAAAGGTGGTGCCGGTCGGTAACGCTGTGGTAAGCAATGCCAAGGGAGGGAAGGTCAATTTCAACATGCAATTCCCCTCATGGGGCTTGTAGCCACCACTGAGGCCAATGGCTGCGAGAGGCTGGTAACCCCTCCACCTTAAATTTAATTACTAGTCAGTCATCTCAATCAGTCAACCCATGGTACCGGAGTCTATCCCATGACCTCCTGCCAGTGAGCTTTTGACACTTCAGGTGGCCTTAAAGTGCACATAGCCTGGTACAAGCACCATGGTGATGTCACTGCCACTTAGTGGCAAATGGCAGTTATTGTTGTTGAGTAGGCCATGGGGGGATGGTTAGGTGAGTGGGTTGGCGAGTGGGTGGGTGGATAGGTGGGTGAGTGGGTGGGTAGGTGGGTGAGTGGGTAGGTGGGTGATGTGGTTTGTAACTATGTATATCTCTCTCTTCCGCTGTGCATGGCCCCTGCAGGTGGTTGGAAGAAGCCATACAGCCTGCCGGGGAGCTTCCCACTACACTCTGTGCTCAAGAGCCAGGACACGGAGTTTGTGGACTTTATCAGCCGCTGCCTCCAGTAAGAACTGCCTCCTCTCCCTCTTCCCCCTGCTGCCCCCCACGAGGATTCCCCATCACTCAATCTCCTCCAAATTATTGGTGATCACACTCCATCAATCACCAGCTCCACCCTCTCATTCTTATTCATCATCTCCTGGGCCCAGAGTTGGTGGACTGTGTCCATTTTTGCCTACAGTAGATACAGTAAGACAACCTCCCGCCTGCCCATTCCCCTCTCCCACACCTCCCCACAAGGATTCTCATATCAGTCACTCTCCTTCAAGTAATCGTTAGAGACACCCATAGGCCCCCATTTTTTTCTTCCTCTTCGTCCGATCCGAAAGTCCAAAATTTGAATAACAAAACTCTACATGTGGAGAATGTGGTACATCTGGGTCACGTCGTCACCGCTGAGCCATATCACAAGAGGTGGAACTGATGTGGTACAGGAGGATGTGAAACTCAGTGAACCTGCTGATGACCTGTACCAGCAGTGTCAAGATCGGTGTCTGTGGAGGCCCATGAAAGATGGGCAGTGGCAGGCTAAGTGCATTTTTAGGCTACTGGGCAGTGGAGTACTCCCCGCTGCTGGTGAGAATTCCTGGACCTCGTGGAAGAAGGGAAGAAACGTAAATCCTTGTAACGTGCCTCTCACCACGTGTGCCCCCGCGTGTCTCTCAACAGATGGGATCCAAATCTTCGGATGACTCCCACTCAGGCGCTCGCACACAGCTGGCTTCAGGGCATGGCCGAGGTCCATGATCAAGGGGCAGCCACGGCCACAACCAGCACCACCATTACCACCGCTACCACCACCGCTGCTCGCAGTGTGCAGGGCCGGATAGCGCTGAGATCCAGAGAAGAGGGCTCCGGAGAATACGATGCAAAGTCTGGAGCCACTGAGCCACGGTAAGCAAATCTGCATGTGTCCTGTGTATGTGTTTATTATTTTGTATCATTATTATTATGCTTGTTTATGCAGAATGAACATCATTGAGTCTCAAGACAAAATATTCAAGAGGGCCCTGCCAAGTTTTGTTCGCAGTTGGGAACAAAGTTGCTGTGTGTGATCCCAATTGAGTGCTTTAGAGGTCGATTTTGATCCAAGACCAGTTGTGTTGTTGTGGGTTCAGTTTCGGGGAAGAAGCTGCTGAACCCAGAGGAAACCCATGCAGAACGGGGGGAGAACACAAGTGCATTCCAGCCTACCCCACGTGTACATTCATCTGTAGACCGATTTATTTTCCATAATTGGTTTGTGGGTGAGCCCACATAACCATGCGGCCATATCTTCACCATCTAACCCTTCATTCACCGTAAAATGCGTTGAGGTGCGAGATGTGATATGTAAGTGCCTCATTGCGTTGTAAAGCACTCTGAGATACCATCGAAGTCAAGATGGGCAGCTTTATCTAACACGAATCACCATCATATATTTTTACAACAATCGTGCATGGGTGATGCGGCCCAGCGGCAGCACTCTTGATGGTTATTACTGCCATGACGGGATGTCAAGACATGATGTACCCCCTCCTTTGCAGTGGATGTTGAAGATCTCCCCTAAGTTCGTTCAAAACGAGTAGGCCATTGTGTGCCAGGGGTCATATTTGCCCCAATTAGAATATATCATGAAAACAAAAAGAAATCATGATAAATTACTTAGTTGTATTTACAAAGCAACGCTGCCTGCTACTGTGACACTACAGCAGACTGTATGAGACACAGTGGTACATTCCTTCGTGATAATCTTGTCCCATCAGAATGACAGCTCTGACATGAAACGTACTCAATTTTTTCATTGTTATTAAGCTCGGTTTAATCTGCCACACCAACGGGAGATGGGGAGGTGACTGCAATCTCTGTCATAGCAAAAGGTGGAGTCGTGTCGTGCGTGTGTCTTCACAGAGTGAAACCGGTGCAGCCCACCTCACTTGCCCAGACCTCTGAAGAGGAAACAGAGGTTGTGGTGGAAAATGAGGGAGACCAAAAGACTGAGGTGGAGGAGGAAGAGAAAACGGAGGAACAGGATCAGGAGACAGAGGAGGAGATGGATAAGGGGGGAAATATGGTGGAGGAAGAGAAGATGGTGGTGGAGGAGATGATGGTGCAGGAGGTTGAGAAGTTAGAGAATGAGGTGACGGACGTGGAGGAGGAAGAGGAGACGGAGGAGACGGTGGAAGAGGAGCCGGAGGAGGAGGAGCCGGAGGAGGAGCTGGAGGAGGATAAGCCGGAGGAGACGGAGGAGACGGATAAGGGGGGAATTATGGTAGTGGAGGAGATGATGGTGCAGGTGTTTGAGAAGTTGGAGGAGGAAAAGGAGATGAAGGAAATGAATAAGAAGCGAGGGTGCATGGCTCGTGTGGGGAGAGCAATACGCTCACTCCTCCGCCGCGTGCTACTGTGCGGTGGCCGGTCCACCCCACAGTAGGGGTGGTAGTGGTGGTGGTCGTACATTTGTGTAAACCACGACTACTATCACCACACCACCCACCCTCCCCCCGTGATACACATTTTTAGTCTATTAGTGTAAATATTTTTAGTCTATTTCTGTATATATTTTGTCTATTGCTGTACATATTTCCTTGGATACAATGCATTTAATAAACCGTCCTAATTTATTCGTATTTTTGTTCAGTTACATTATTGCTTTACTTGTGGTGTGGTCAGTGGATATTGTTCGGTGGATCAAACCGAAACAAGGTTTTATTGGAAAATCTGTGGCTGCTGATTCTCTGGCTGGCTGGAGACTGCAAACTCACCCAGAAGCCAGGCCACAAGAACTTGGGCTCAGGGTTAGCGGCAGTAACAACCGACTTCCTTTAAATATTGCTCCAGAAGAGCACCGTCCTACTTTGGTTCTTCAGATGGTGCAGGTTTTAAAAAGACAACTGAATGTGTGCTGTCTTGTCTGAAGTATGGCAACAGTTTCCGACAATGCCTGTGCATACAGTGAACGTCATGACACATCCAGATTGGGTTCCTTTGAGCTTGGTGCAACAATTATTGACGATTGAGAAATGCAACATTTGTCATCATCGTGTACAGTGATTAAGTAGAATATGCTGGCAAATATCTCCTTAATGTCGTACATGTTTTCCCAACTGTGAAAAATATATGATTGAAAGATGCCTCCATGTACAGATGGTAATGTTTCTGGTTCTGGTCCAACAGTGACCACTATTGGATTCTGCGTGTAAAAAACGTGTTATGGGAGCCAATAGTGGTTTCGATAACAAACATTGCATTGTTTCAATCAAGGAAATCACTGTGTGGGTTTCTCAGTGTTGATAATGGTTTCAAAGGAACAGCACATCGCAACAGCGCATTCCAAATGGTGTCGAACGCACCGCCTGTAATCTGGTTAGTAAAAAACACGTTTGGTTTTAAATGGATAGAACTCGACCTGCCATATTCATCATTATGGACCCCGATTTGTAAGCATTAATCACGCAAACCTAGCACCTGATTTATTTGAGTCGCTAAGCTCACGAGCAACAGGGCTTTTGTGGCGAGGTTTTAATGTACCCCCGGTTAGCACGATTGGCTATGTACGCTGCAAATGAAGTTGGAGAAGGCGAGGGCTCCTAAAATGACTGCAAGGCAAGGTTTTGTGACCCACATAGCACAGGGGCGACAGTGCCGGCTGGAGCCATCGCTGTTGGAACCGCATGGGCAGGGGACCCAGAAGGTGTCCTCCATCCCACCATCTGCGCCAGTAGAACCACCACAACCAACAACCATAACTAAAACCACAACTAGAACCACAAATTCAACCACGAACATAATCACAACTATAACCACAAATATAACGACAACTATAACCACAAATTCATCCACAACTAGAACCACAGATATAACCACAACTGTAACCAAAACCATCAACTACAATTATAACCACACCCACAACTATCGCCATAATATAAAACCACAATTCTATGCACGAAAACTACGGACACAACTATAACCACAACCATGATATGATCACAACTATAACCATAACATAACCACTACAACTATAACCACACCTCCGGTTAGCACAAGTGGCTACGTACGGTGCGAAAGAAGTTCAACACCTACAAAGACAAAATAAAAAAATCTCCCGTACAGAATTTAACAGACTGTCGGGGCAAGTGCTGTTAGCGAGCACCTATGGAGGCCGGCAGTGTGGCACACAAGCGGGTGGGTGGAAAGCCCCATACCCGACCGTCTTTGTCTCCCGAGTGGCGATGTTTATTACACACAGCAACAGGTACTCATTTGAGGCAGAGTCGACGTAGGGGAGGCCCTGGACTGGTTCAGATGATCGTCACTGGTGTTGGCCGTGAGCGGGAATCGAACTTGTGTCCACGGGTTTGTAGCGCGGCGTGTTGACCGCGACTCTACCGCTCCCTACACATACATAAACAACCATGACAGCCAACATAACCACCTTCATCACAAATATAACCACAAAAACATAACATAACCATCACAACTTTGACCACAACAACCACCAACAACAATCACAATTATAACCACAAGCATAACCACAACAACCATAACATAACCACCATAGCTATAACTACAACCACCACAACCTCAACTATAACAACTATATCCATGACCACCGCAACCACCACGTACACAACTATTGCCACGAAAAATATAACCCCCACAACTATAATATCCACCACCTACACAACCACACTTAACCACAACCAAAAGCACTATAACCAACATAACCACCTAAACCACAACTAAAACCTCAACCACCACATTGATCCTGCTACTCTGACACCGCCGACACAACCACTGTGTCAAGGCTCTATGTCCCTGTGTGAGAGTGGTGAGTTGGTGAGTTGGTGGGTGGGTGGGGTGGGTGTGTGGGCGATGGAATGGAACCTGCACCTCTGCCGCACGTGGTGGGGTAAAGGGTGGGTACGCTCACCTTGCTCCAACACGTGTAGACCAGCGTGGAAGAGTAGACCAAATACCCTATTTAGCGGCCTCTAGTGGAGGCCCATTCCGCCAGCAGGCGATTGGCCTCCACAATAAATCATTCCGTGCAGAGATGAAGCAAAGTCTCTTTGACTCATCCATCAGCCGTACGGCCGTCTGGGAGTGCCTCTCATCAGCAGCAATGGCTCAACTCGAGCGCCACTCTGGGCCGGTTTCCACTTTCAGTGCCTCATCAGCAGCAGCAGCAGCAGAGCCGGGCTCTGCTTGAACCGATGCCGTGAGCCCAATAGCTGTTTAGAAGCTTGCGGCTGTGGGCCGCCTTTGTCTCTCCCCCACCACTGCTGAGGTGTCCACACCACGCGAGGTTCTCACTTTCAGGCTGAGTCGACCCTGAGGCGGCCCAGACAGCGAACCGCTTCAGAAGTTGGCGCCACTCGCCCCGGCGGAAGCGGAAGTAGCAGCGGGGGAGGGGGTATGGGGGAGGGGGCTGGAGGGGGGAGGAGTTGAAAGATAGTGACGTCATGGAGGGCGTGGTTTCCTGGCCCCGCCCCCCACTTGCCTATGGTAGTTTGTGCGAAAGGCGGCGGTAGAGAGGTGCGGAGAGCAGCAGCAGCCGCCGCGAGTGGAGATCAGCTGAGGAGGAGTGGATCTCCGCTGTGGGTTAGTGGTGGTGGTGTTCGTGGTGGTGGTGTGTTAGTGGTGGTGTGTTAGTGGTGGGGTGTTAGTGGTGGTGTGTTAGTGGTGGTGTGTTAGTGGTGGTGTGTTAGTGGTGGTGCGTTAGTGGTGGTGTGTTAGTGGTGGTGGTGTTAGTGGTGGTGGTGTGTTAGTGGTGGTGGTGTGTTAGTGTGGGGTGTTGTGTTAGTGGTGGTGGTGTCGTGGTGGTGGTGTGTTAGTGGTGGTGGTGTGTTAGTGGTGGTGGTGTGTTAGTGGTGGTGGTGTGTTAGTGGTGGTACGTTAGTGGTGGGTGTTAGTGGTGGGGTTGTTAGGTGGTGTGTTAGTGGTGGTGTGTTAGTGGTGTGCGTTAGTGGTGGTGTGTTAGTGGTGGTGGGTGTTAGTGTGGGTGGTGTGTTAGTGGTGGTGGTGTGTAGTGGTGGTGGTGTGTTAGTGGTGGTGGTGTGTTAGTGGTGGGTGGTGTGTTAGTGGTGGTACGTTAGTGGTTGGGGTGTTAGTGGTGGGGTTGTTAGTGGTGGTGGTGTTCGTGGTGGTGGTGTGTTAGTGGTGGTACGTTAGTGGTGGTGTGTTAGTGGTGGTGGTGTGTTAGTGGTGGTGTGTGTTGGGTGTTCGTGGTGGGGCGTTAGTGGTGGTGTTAGTGTGTGGTGTGTGGTTTTAGTGGTGGTGCGTTAGTGGTGGTGCGTTAGTGGTGGTGCGTTAGTGTGGTGCGTTATGGTGGTGCGTTAG